GTCCCGTTACCCATGTGGCAGCTAGCAAATATCTGGAACTCTATTCCAGGGGATTCAATGCCCTTTTCTGATTTTCACAGCATTGCACAACAGCGGTGCACCTATCTGCAAGCACACAATACACTCATACACACACAAAAAAATAATAAATAAAATATTTAAATCCAGGCATGGTGGCATATGCCTTTTGTCCCAGCACTTGGGAGGCAGAGGCAGCCTCTCTTTGAGTTCAAGGCCAGTCTGGTCTCCATAGTGAATCCAGGCTAGCTGTGGCTACAGGGAGACCCTGTTTTCAAAAAGACCAAAAAAATAAAAATAAAAGGGGGTTGGAGAAATGTCTCAGCGGTTAAGAGCACTGACTGCTCTTGCAGATGACCCGAATTCGATTCCCAGCACCCACATAGTGGCTTCAAACCATCCTCAACTCCAGTTCTAGGGGAATCTGATGCCCTCTTCTGACTTCCATGGCATTGCATGACACAGGTGCACTCATACAAGCAGGCAATACACTCATACACATAAAATAAAAATAATAAAAATTACTCACTCGTTGCACCTACTGCATGTCAAAACTATGCCAAATGTAGTAGATGTATAATTCACTTAGTTCTCAAGCAGTCTTGTGAGGTAGCTAGCTGTTGCTGTTACCAACCTCATAGATAAAACTGAGGCACAGCCCAAGTAACTAGGGCCATACAACTAGTCAATGACAAAGTAGGGCTTTGAACCTGAGAATGTGGCTATGGGGTCTGTGCTTTTTCCATGTTGCTTACTGCCTTTCTGGGTTACTGTTACATGTATCATTTTACTACTCTTTAAATTTTACATAACATTTTTGATTTTTTTTTTTTTGAAAAATGTAAATACAGATACAACCAAGGTCTGCTTGGACCTGTACATCCCACTTCTCTACTCTGCCTCAGATATGAGTCTTGCCACATAGGGACATTTCCTTTAAGGCCCTTTCTGTGACATTCACACTATATGTAGTAGTTTCTACCCACAGATGTTTTGTACCAGTAGAATTTCACACACCTGAGTTCATAATCATCTTATGTGTAGTATTAACAGGTACTTAGTGTGAAGTATGTCTTTTAGGCTCTTATCAAAGGGTGTTTTGCCATCCTCAGAGGTGATGAAGTTCCCTCTTTATTGTTTACTAACTATATGACTATGACCTTGAGCAGTTTCCTCCACTACAAAATGGGAAGAAATAGGACTTGACTTCAAGGCTAAGAGAATTAGTGAGGTACTAAGCAAAGTGCTTTTTTAATGCCATCCCTGTCTCCTTGGAAGTGTGATGGTATAATGCAATGTCCTTTCTCACATTATCTATGTGGATTGTGTTAAAATGCACAAAGTGGGGGAAAGCGAGATGGCCCAGCAGTAAGAACACTTAGTATTCTTGCAGAGAACCAGGATTTGGTTTCCAGCACCCATATGGGGCTCAAAACCATCTATAACTCCACTCCCTCTTCTGGCTTTAATAGGCATCAGGCACACACATGGTGCACATACATACATGTAGGCAAAATTAAAAATTTATTTTTTAATTCAAATGCACAAAGAATGGGGCAAGAGAGATAGTTCAGCAGTTATGAGCACTTGCTGCTCTTGCAGAAGACCAGATTTGAGCACCTAGCACCCACATAGGGTGGTTCATAACCACCTATAACTCTAGCTTCAGGGCATCCAGTACTTTTTTCTGATCTCTATGTGCACCTTCATACACAAGAGCATACATACATGCACACACACACACACACATAAAAATAAATATTTTATATTTATTTATTTATGAGACAGGGCCTCCCTGTAGCCCTGGCTAGCCTGGAACTCACTGTGTAGACCAGGCTGGCCTCAACCTCACAGAGATCTTCTGCCTCTGCCTCCTGAATGCTAGAATTAAAGGTGTGCACCATCTTACCCAGCTATTATTTATTTCTATTTTATGTATATGAATGTATTGCCTGCATGTATGTAGATGCACCACCTGTGTGCATTGCCCACAGAGGCCAGAAGAGGATGTTAGTGCCCTGGAACTGGAGTTACAGACAGTTGTAAGCCACCATATTGGTGCTAGACCCAAACCTGGGTCCTCTGCAAGAGCAGCCAGTGCTCTTAACTGCCAAGCCATCTCTCGAGCCCTAATAAAAATAAATCTTAAAATGCATAAAGGAGGGGCTGGAGAGATAGGTCAGTGGTTAAGAATACTAGTTGTTCTTGCAGAAGACCCAGGTTTGAATCCCAGCACCCACATGGCAGCTAACAGCTCTCCGTAACTCCGGTCCCAGGGGATCCAACAGCCTCTTCTGACTTCCACGGGCATTGCACAACATGGGTGCACTTACCTATATGTAGGCAGTATATGCATATGCATAAAATAAAAATAATACAATTTTTTTTAATTATTTTTAAAATGTATAAAAGAGTATGAATTTTACAAACCTTGCTTTCTTTTCTTTGTGTAACTTAGCAGATTTTTGTTTTCTAAGCTATCTTTGTTATATACTTCCCTCAAAGACTACCACAGGCTTTCCCATTTGCATTCTTTTAGCTGTACCAGCATATTATAGAAAGCAAAGTAGTGTGTGTGTCAATATGTAAATATGGAATTGTTTAATGGTTTAAAATTCTCCCCTTTCCTTGCTTATTCATTGTTCTAATATCATACAAAATATCGTAGATACTGAGCTGGAAAATCCTTCAAGGTTGATTTGTCTCCAGATAAAGGTTTGGGGAAATTGAGCCCAGAGAGGAGAGTTGGCTTTACTCAGTGACAGCCAGATAGTTGTAGGAGTAGGGCTTGATTCCAACATGGTGCTTTCCACTGAAAACTTACTGGAATTTTTATTCTTTCTCAAAAATCTTTCAGAATCAGTTAGAAACTGCTCCACCCCATGAGTTAAAGAATACATTCCAGTTGCTTCATGAGATATTGGTAAGCCATAAATCTGCTTATTCATTTGTATTTTGGTATTTATTATTTAGTGTATGCTTATACATTATTGGTTCCTTACTGGTTTTGTTCATTTGGCCTGCATTTCTTGACTCTTCTACCTGTCAGTCATGGGCCACATGCATTGTTGACTTAGAGATGAACAGCAATAAACATCTACCTCCTCGGAGCTTGCAGTATAGTGAAGAAGCTAGGCAAAACACAGTCGGTTACAGGGCAGAGATCAGAGGTATAAATGGAATTAACCCTTACTGCAGCCTTACAATGTATAATACACTGTGTTTAACCCTGAGGTTAGCTCCCAGATGTAAATTTCTGGATTTGCAGATATGACACTGTTGGTCATATCTACTTTGTTGTATGACCCATATGTAGAAAGCATAAAAATGAAATATAATCAATTAAATGATGTTTTGGATTTCAGAAGTGTGAGTAGAAGACAAAAACCAAAAAGTCAGTTGTGATCAGCAAAGTATTGTTACTAGAAACAGCTTTAGAGAGGTGGGGTGATTTGCCTGAAGCCACCCTTTAGCAGATCTAAGGCCTATGACAGAGGCAGCGTTTGGACCAATGACTGGTCCCAGAGTCCCAACTGTCCTCACATTCTGAGGAGCTCTGAATTGTGAGTGTATGACTAAAGGAAGAAATGGAGCTGTGTAGTAGAACTTGGGAAAAGAAACCAAATACAAGGTACATAAGACTTCTGCCACCAAAGTCAGGGCATACCAACTTCTTCCTCTAGGCCACAAGTTGCACTTAGCCAGTAAATATGAATGTCTAGCAGTCTAGTCATATTAGTCCCATTTCTGGCACAGTCACCAAGAGTAATAATCGTATACCCCCTTGGATAAAGATGTAGGCTCTAGTTTCCTACCACTTCTGACACTCCTTGTTGTCTGAAACATACTCCTTTGCAACACCTACTGTCAGTGATGGTGCCGTGGAAGTGTTTTAAGCAGGGAAGTGAAATGACCCAGTAGCGAAACTCCTCTATAGCAGTTGGTTTGAAGGACAGACTAAAGAAACAGGCAGATTGGAAGGCCTATACAAGCCTGGCAAGGATCCATGACATAGCCAAGCTTGCACTCAACAGGAGGCAGAGTATGGAAGGACAGCAAGTCACAAATCAAAAGGTGTTTGGGAAAAAGAACTAACAGAATTTGGTGACTCGGTATAAACTAATGAGACAGACTAGGCCAGGGGCTCCTAGAGCAGGGACTTCATCCATTTAGGTGCTTAATAATTGGCCTTGGCTCAGAGGATACATTGGAGTAAAATATGAAAATATATTATGGGTACCTATGTCTACTAAAAGCCTGACTTTTTTATTCTTTTCTTCCTTTGACCCCAGTCCTTTTATAAACTTTGGAAAATTATTGCTTCTCAAGGGTAGAACTGTGTGTTATTCAGCTGGTCAGCAACAAACTCAAATAATTCACAACATTGCAATCCATTCTGTGGCAAGAACTAAAATATAGCAACAAGTAAAACACAGATCAGCCTCTGCAGCAAGACACAATCTTGCACTTCAACTTTTAGAACCTAATAGCAAAACTTAAGCATGTTTTTAGTCAATAAATTAAAATTTATCTTGTATTCTTAGGATCACAAAGTATCTGCCCTCATAACCCAACAGAGAACTATGGGTATAGTTGTTAGAAATAGATATATATGAAATTACTGGATCTTTAATAACTTGACATCTTAGTTTTGAATTAGGGAGATGTTGAGATGCATGGCAGTGACAAACGGCCCTTAATATTGGGCTGTTGTTAGATCTCTGCAGTAGAACTGTGAGGAAGCACCTGTGATTCTGCATAGGCTGCTGCTTTCACCTACTCACCTCTGTCTCCTTATCACAGGTCACTGAAGATCCCATACAAGTAGAACGAGTCAAATTTGTATTTGAAACCGAAAACGGATTACTAGGCAAGTATGCTGGTCTAGGAACAAATGTCTACCATGAATTTCTAGATAACCTCAGTTCTAGCAAGCATTACCCTTCTGCTCTCCCTGACTTAAGTGACTACTCTGTTAGAAGTCTTGTTAAGGCTGCTGGGCTCCTCAGCCAGATTGGGAGACTTTCCTTCTGCTTAGTATTCTCAGTGCAGCTCAAGGGTCTTTTCCTAGGTCAGGGAAGGTTCAGGGATGCTAGAAATTTGTTTTCTGTAAGCTAAAGCCACCTTTCTGATGACAGAAATCTTACCTTCCATTCAGTAGCCATTGGAAGGGAAAAAACTAACACCTTAGACTCAGAATGTTATCAGATGTATGAAGTGATTGTCTTTTGACCCACATGTCTACTGTCTACTCATGAAAGTTCTTTATTAGAACTTGCTTTTCTTGGAAGTCCTGACTTAGCTTTATAAGCTATGAGTTAAAAAGGTTTAGTAAAAAATGCCTGTCCACCATCCATTTACATTTCCTGTATCATAGTCATTTGGGATTTTGTTGGGTACCATCATGGCCCACATGACATTTCTGTCATTGATGGACTGTACATACAGTGGAGTCACCTAAGGTTATGTCACTAGTGGTGTGGTGGACATCTTCCTTTGTATAAGTTTGCTCTGACCTCAGATGCACAACAATGAACTCACCTAACAACCATTTCTCAGAATATACCCCCATCATTCAGCACATGATAGCATAGAAGGGAATTGAGACCTACTTGTTATGGCATAAAGGATATATAAGCGAAAAACTTTCCAAGCCCTCATTTGGAACAGTGTACTCTAATCAGACCCTGGGACCTGGACCCAGGCCAGGTCCTCTGGCATAAACAAATGAAGAGCAAGGGCAGGTATTATTTATTTTCAAATCCCTAAAATACATAATACAAAATATATGTTGAATAGAACTAGTATCATAAATTTTCATTTATCAGTCAATAAATTGCTGTAACTACTGTTTTCTCGGCAGCATAGTATATGGATCTTTTAACAGTCATCTAGTTGAAAATTTAGTTCTTTCAGTTTTAAAACTCAAACTTTTACCACCCTCTATGTTTTTCAATCATATTAAAGTGTTAGAATTGGGATGATTCTGTTGCATCAGATAATTAAGTTCCCTACCCCCTACCAAAATTATTTTGAGAGCAAGAGCACTTGTTATTACCTGGACACTTTCAGTTCAGTGCCTTACTGTTAAAATGTCCTCTTCTCTCCCTCCAGCTTTGATGCACCACAGTAATCATGTGGACAGCAGTCGATGCTACCAGTGTGTCAAATTTCTTGTCACTCTTGCTCAAAAGTAAGTATGGACTCAAGATACAGAGAGGAAGTGGTATTTGACTACAGGGGGAAATTGCCTTATTTTGGGACCTTAGAAAGTCTGACTCGTTCAAGGCATGCTTGATTGGAAAGTACAGAGTATTAAGAGTCTCTTCAAAGAAACTAAAGGAAGAATATTAGAAAAGTAGCAGCTCTTAATCCCAACACTTGGGAGGCAGAAGCAGGTGGATCTTTGTGAGTTTGAGGCAAGCCTGGTCTACTTAGCAAGTTCCAGGCCAGCTGTGGCTACAAGGAGATGGCCCTGTCTCAAAAAGACAACCAAAAAGAAAGAAAAGTAGCAGATCTTAGGGAATTTCAAAAGAGAAAAAGCAGATCATCTAGCCTTCTGACAGAAGGGCAGCAGTTGAGTCAGGTTTGGGTACCTTAGGAGCAACAGTTCATGACCATTTCCATGGTCCCTTTCATTAACTATTAACTCCTTTGAGCTCTTAAGCCCTCAATTTGAAAGTAGCCTCTCAAGAAATAAAATCTTGTCACCTCTATCTGTGGAACACTTATAAACCAAAATGCTATATCACATACTTTGCTTGCATTATCTTATTTAATCTTTACAGCATCACCAAGGTAGTTGTTTATCACTGATGGTTTGAGTGGCATATCTACAGTAGTCTTAGAGCTAAACTTAAAACACAGGTTTGTTTGACCTCAAAGTAAGGTACTTTTTTAAAATTGTGACAAAATATACAGAACATAAAATTGATCATCTTAACCTTGTTGCATATAGTTCAATGGTGATAAGATCATCCATGTTGGTAGAAGGAAAAAACTGAGTCCCACAAGTTGTCCTCTGGCTCTACATATGCACTATGGCACATGTACAATAAATAGTAAATGTGAAGTTTTATTTTTTTTTATGTGTATGAATGTTTTGCCTGCATGTATATAAATGTACCACATGTATGCAATGCCCACAGAGACCAGAAGAGGACATCAGATCCCCAAAACTGGAGTTATAGATGGTTGTTAGTTACCATGTAGGTGCTAGGAACTGAACCCAGATCCTCTGCAAGAGCAGCCAGTGCTCTTAACTGCTAAGTCTCTCTAGCCCCAAATTTTTAAAAAAGCTCTTCCATGTTGCACAGCCTCCATCACCATCAACCTCTAGAATTCCTTTCATCTTTTAAAACTAAAACTCTGAGCTGAGCGTGGTGGTATACTCAGAAGGCAGAGGCACGTATAGCTGAGATCCAGGCCAGCCTGGTCTACATAGAGAGTACCAGGCTAGCTGGGGACTACATGGAAACTCTGCCTAAAAAAAAAAAAAAAAAAAAAAAAAGAAAGAAAGAGAGAATAAAAATAAAACTCTGAATCCTACCAAATACTAACTCTTCATTAAGCCATTGGCAGCCATTGTAATTTGACTCCCTCTGGTACCTCACCAGAAGCTTACCTTTTATGACTAGCTTGTTTCACCTAGTGCATTGTCTTCAGTTTATTCATCCTCTAGCATGTATCAGATTTCCTTCCTTTGAAGGTTGTCCTTGTATGTCTGTGCCACATTTTGTCTCTCCATTCTTTAACTGGATGGACACTTAGGAGGCACAGGTTCTTAATATTAGGAGGAACCTTGCTGTGGTGCTGCTTTAACCCCTTGTATAGTAGTCCATGGCAAACAAAGTCAGTGACGGTAAGGTGACCCAAGGTTATTAAACAGACTTCACTACATTCACTGTGACTGTACCTCACTGTGACTGTACCAAGCTACCTTGTCCCAGTTCTTAAGCATGGAGATTGCTGTTCTTAGGCTTTATCAGAATAAGAATGCAAATCTGTTGTGCTTAATCTGCTATACTTGAACTTCCAAACAGAGATCAGTTAGATAAATTGAAATAAAGCATGAGCATGTTTTTTCTAGATAGCACAGTATTGTGCACACAAGAAGGTATTATCCTACCACAATTGTAGGTTTGTTAGTTAGACTTGATATTGGCCATGTATCAAGAGAGGCATTTCCAAGTAGTGCCTAGGCCACTGGTATGTCTCCTACCAGCAGCTTCTCAGTAAGTGTCTGTGTACATCTGTGTCCTTGCCACACACCAGTGGTGACAGCATCTTCAGTGCTGTGTTCAAATATGAAGACAGTTTTCTGGATTAACAAAGAAAAAGAAAAGGGAAAGATATGTTTCTTATGCATACTTTTAAAATAATTTTCCCCATAATCTTTCTTGTGCATATAAATTGGTTAGATGGTTGGTTGGTTGGTTGGTTTTTGTGTGTGTTTTGGTTGGTTGGTTAGTTGGTTGGCTGGTTTGTTTTGGTTTGGTTTTGAGACAGGGTCTTACTATGTAGAACTGGCTGGCCTCGAACTCACTATGTAGACTAGACTGGCCTCAAATTCACAGAAATCTACCTGTCTCTGCCTCCTGAGTGCTGGAATTAAAGGCGTGCACCACTGTACCCAGTGTTCATTCTTATTTTAATCACAAACATTAAAGAACATTTGTATTATGTAAAGAGATCATTTATTAAAGACACAGTTTGTTGTGAGTTGGGAAGTACATTTATTTTGGTTTTTAGCTTTGGATTTTAATAAGTTAGATTAATAAGATTAGACATGGTAAGAGACTTGATGCCTTTTTAAGTTTAAGCATATGAAGGTATTACCTCTCCAAACAAAGTAAAAGAAAAATTTGAATACAAAAACACCTGAGTCTTAATGAATGTAATGTTTATCTGTCAAGATGAAGTACTTTAGATTGAATAAGAATATTTTCCAAAAAAAGTATTTGACTAGTGTACTGGATAGCTTTAGTGTCACCTTGACACACCTGGGTTGAGAGAGCCTCAGTTGGGTCATTGCCTCCATAGGATTGTCCTGTGGCCATGTCTCTGAGGCATCTTCTTGATTGATGAGTGATGTGGGACGGCCCAGCCCATTGTGGGTGGTGCCACGCTGGGCAGGTGGGCCTGTGTTGCCTAAGAAAGAAAGCTAAGCAGGAAGCAAACCAGTAAGCAGCATTCCTCCGTGGCCTGTGCTCCAGCTCCTGCCTCCAGGCTCCTGGATGAACTATGACCCGGGATATGTGAGCTAAATAAACCCTTTCCTCCCCAAGTTGGTATTGGTCAGAGTGTTTTGTCATAGCAATGGAGAGACAAACTAGGACAACTAGTAATAATCTCCTCGATCCCCAGATGTCCTGCTGCTAAAGAATACTTCAAGGAGAATTCCCACCACTGGAGTTGGGCCGTGCAGTGGTTACAAAAGAAGGTAATAGAAGTCTGAACTTTGAAAAAAATTATTTGTATTTTATGTATATGAGTGTTATGCTTACATGCATGTAAGTGTACTACATGCATGCAATGCCTGCAGGGGCCAGAAGAGGGGTTCAGATCCCTTGGAACTGGAGTTACAGGTGGTTGTTAGCTGGGGACTGAACCCTGGTCCTGTGCAAGAGCAGCCAGTGCTTTTAACCACTGAGCCATCTCACCAAACCCCAAAATTGTGAGTCTTTCTAACTATAACATAGTAATTAAAAACAGCACATCTTACTGGGGAAAAAAATCTCTTAAACTTAAATTGAAAAATGACCTCAAAGTATTTTCAGATGTTGAACATTTCCTTAGTATAGTCAATACATACTTACATGCATTAAATTTGTATCTTAATATGATAATGCACCCCAGCCCCGCACCTTATCTCACAGGGCTAGTTTTATCTTTATTTGTGTGTGTGTGTGTGTGTGTGTGTGTGTGTGTGTATGCATGCAAGTACCTGCAGAGACCAAAAGAGGGCATTGAATCCCCTGGAACTGGACTTACAGGCAGTTCAGACAGTTGTGAGACACTCAGTGTGGGTGCCTGGATCCAAACTGGTCCTTTGCCAGAGGAGCAATCACTTGTAACTGCTGAGTTGTGTCTCCAGTCCATAAGGGTTATGTTCCAAGATCCTTCCTCCAGTGGATGATAGTGTTGAACTCTACATATACTATGTTTTTTCCTAGATAATGAAAAAGTTTAGTTTATATATTAGACAAAGTAAGATATTAACAATAATAATGATAAAATGGGGAGGGAATAAGCTAGAAAAATTATTGCAATATACTATAATAAAAGAATCTTGTCCTATATTCATACTTCTTGTGATGGTGTGAAATGATGTGATGCTTATGTGAGGAGATGAAGAGGTGGATGACATTACTGTTGGAATTATCAGTGGTGACGATCACTGAGTTATAACAGTACTGAGCCAGTAGTATACATAGGGTAGGTATATTGCTGGACAAAAGAATGGTTTCTATCTGAAGCAGGACAGAGTAGGACAGTGCAAGAGTTCATTACAGTGCTCAGACTGGTACACAATTTAAAACTTAATGACTTAGTTCTGGAATTTTCCATTTAATATATTTAGACTGGTTGTTCACAGGTACCTCAAACTAGGGGAAATAAAACCATGCATGGAGGTGGGGAGCACTGTAAACACTTGTCTTGACTTTGTAGATAAAAAATTGGGGGTTGATTACTCTGATTAAGAAGCAGTGCTTTCCTGTTTGAAAGTGGAGGGCAGTCCTTCATGATAACTGAGGTGATAGAAGTCTGGTAGACTTATAGCCTGTGCCTCTTAGACTCTGATGTCTGTAGGAACTGTAGGACTTAAGGGGGCTTACTTATCACCTCTGCTTGGCCTTTCATCCTAGATGTCAGAGCACTATTGGACACCACAGAGCAATGTCTCTAATGAAACCTCAACTGGAAAAACCTTTCAGCGAACCATCTCAGCTCAGGTGAGGGGGTGTCTGTTCCTTTGTGCTTTGAAACCCCTAGGGCCAGCTTCTTAGAAATCATGCTCAGAGAAGAGAGGGAGGGCAGAAAATGAGAAATAGAAGCAGCCATTGGATTTGTGTATAAAAGACAGCAAGCTGGTATACACTGAGGCACATTGGAACAGATCACTTGTCTAAAGAAGAGCATAATAGATTGGCTGGTAGGTCTTGAAGGGCTCGGAGGTCAAGGGATGCCTTGGCAACTCTGCGGAAAATGCCACGCTGCAGCCTGCCAGTGCTGAAGGGTGGTTGCAGTTCTGAACCAGCCCCTAACTCCTGCTTGTGTTTGGATCTCTACAGGACACATTAGCATATGCCACAGCTTTGTTGAATGAAAAAGAGCAGTCGGGAAGCAGCAATGGGTCAGAGAGCAGTCCTGCCAATGAGAATGGAGAGAGGCATTTACAACAGGTACTGCTTGGCCTGTCCTTGACTGAAAGGGCAGCACTTGCTCTTAATCTTTCCAAAAGTCAAGAAAGAAAAGATTCTGCTCCTGCAAGTGAGTATAAAGATAGGCCAGCTTGGCCCTCTGTGCTGTTAGCTGAACAGTGCTACAGCATGAAATAAAGGCCAGGCTCTGAAGTATCTGGCTGCTAGCATGAAGATAGACTTGATGAAGCCAGGCTGCACACAGTGCTGTTCTGTCACTTTATTATGCCCCATTGGAAAATCTCTCTTGCTTTCCCCAGTCTTCCTAGAAATGTCAACTTGAAAGGCAAGCTCCATGGCACACTGAAGGGCACCTACTTGCCAGGGGACTCTGAATCATTTGGGCTTGGGGAGGGGCTTTCTTTTCTCATCACTGTATAAAAGAAAAGAAAAATAATTTTGAAGAAACACCTACCATGTGCATAGCACTAGACTGAATGCGGACGTAGTTACGTTTAGCACACCTCTCCTAGTATGTGGTCTTACATCCCAGCAATCTCCTTGCTGCTCCATCACAAGATTTGGCACAGAGGCAGCCCCAGGGAGGGAATGTTGCTGGCGTTAGAGATGTCCTTTCCTGTAAATGTTACCTTTCAGATCCTCCTAGCAACCAGAGGGGCCCACTATTACCCTGACCTTACAGAAGACTGATGGAGGCCTGGCTTTGTGATGTGAAATAACCCAGACTTACTCTCAAGAGTTCACCACACCACCTCCCTTTCAAAGAGCTCCTGAGGCTGCTGGTTCCCACACTCACTGCCCGTCATCCATTCTCCTGGGACCATGCGGGATGTTTCCTCCCAGCCCTTATCTCTTCCCACCTTGACAGAATTTTAATCCTTCCCCCATTCCCATTTTAAGTTTCTCTGATGCCTTTTCTACAGATATTTCAACACAGTTCTCCATCCTCTTAAAAAGTCCTCTTTTCTTCAGAGCAAAACTTTCCCAGAATTATCTGCACTTGACTATCCCTGTTTTCCTGTCACTCATGCATTCTTCAGCCTCTTCTGAGCTCTTCCCTCTCTTCTCACAGTTGGGATGGCAGATGGCCAGTGTTTGTTAGGCTTCATCATAGCTGACAGCAGCAGCATATAGCACTGCTGGCTACTCCTCCCTTTTGAAATACAGTCTTCAAGCCTTCCATGGCACCTTACTCTAGATTTCCTTAGACCCTGCTGACTGTTCCTTCTCAGACTCCTTCCCAGTCCAGCCTCCTCTGGGGCCCTGGAAGTTGCTGTACAACCCTCTGTTCTCTTGTCCTACTGCCCTAATCAGTGTTTTCATCCCTACCCATCACTGTGCTGCTCCTGAATTCCAGGGGGAACATCCAGTGTGAGTTCCTGAGGTCTCCACTTGCTGTGTCTTGGAAGACACCTCAGCATGTCCACTCCTCCTCAGATCCCCACTAAAGCTGGTGCTCCATCACCATCCCATACCTCAAAGATAGCACCCCTGTGTGCCAGGCCAGTCCCAGCCCAACTGTTCACCAACCCTAAGCACTGCACTCTCTACACCTCTGTGAGAATCCCCTACCTGAATTGTGACTGCTCTCCAGGCCACTCGCTGAAACTTTCCATTGGTTGTCCTTTACTGCTACATAAAGGGCAGAATCCTCCACACAGTTCTGTTTGACTTGGGCCCTTCAACATTTTCTGAATTTTAATTTATCAAATATACTTTGTTCCGAGGCTGGAGAGATGGCTCAGCGGTTCAGATCACTGGCTGCTCTTGCACAGGACCTGGGTTCAGTTTCAGCACCCACATGGTGACTAACAGTTGTCCGTAACCCCAGTTCCAGAAGATCCAATGCCCTCCTCTGACTCCACAAGCATTGCACAATATAGGTGCACTTACATACGTGCAGGCAATACATTCATACACATAAAATAAGAATAAAATATTTTATGCACACACACACTTTGGTCCTTCTGCAAGAAATTGTCCCTTCTCCTCCCTATTCTTGGAGGACCAGTCCCAAGACCACCAGTTGATTATAGTAGCAGAATGTGGATTCAGGAATGACCCAGATCCCACCCAGTAGGGATACTACCTGTCATGAAGCAGGTGTCACTGGCATCCAGTCCCCCTCTCTGCTTTTTCCCTTTGCTCACTCAGTTTAATGAGGTGCTGCCTGTTGGATGAAGAGGAAAGTGTGGCATTAGGCCACTCTCTGGGTTCTTTCAGTGACTAATTAAGATTATCCAAATGAAAGTGTTCTGCATAATCATGAGTTTCCAGAATGTGTAATAGTTACCATTGTGTTTTATTAACTTTTAATAAACAGAATTAAGTTGCTCAGTGAAGATATGCTTAAATTACAGAACCACAAGTAAGGATGTCAGTACAGAAAGCTCCCCTAACTTTAGTTGTAGGATCCTTAACTTCCTTTCTTTTCCACAGGGTTCAGAATCTCCCATGATGATTGGTGAATTAAGAAGTGACCTTGACGATGTCGATCCTTAGAGCAGTGTGCCCAGCAACTGGCCAGATAGGATGTTCTAATGCACCATTTAGAAACCAGAATCTCATCCCTGAAGCCCTTCAAAGAGCCTGGAAATGGAGTCAGGAGAATGTGTGACTGAGGACCATGTGTTCTAAAGGAAAGCCTTCTCAGGCTTCTAGAAGGTTGGGATCTGCTTGTTTGTGGGAGAGTTCCAGCGTGGGAACCAGCTGACCCACAGGCACAGTCGTAGTGTGGATTGAAACTCCATGGAGATTTTAGGAAATGAAGCTGGTGACAGACTTCTGATACATGAACATAGAGTAAGGATAAAGGGATAAAGCTGTGGCTTTCTCTATGATGTGACAAAAAAAAAATCCTTTGGTTTTTATATCAAAAAAAGAAAAGCAAGCTGCCTTTAGGTATGTGAGGGCAAATTTTTACTCTTGCAGTAACATTAAGTAGGAATATCCAATTTAAAATGATGTAAAGATATGTGGTAAAAATTCCTTTTCATTGTAAAATAGTTAAATTCAGTTTACATAGACCTTTGTATTTAATATGTCTCCCTCTTTGTACAGAATTTCTGATCTGCCTGGTTGAGAGCTCTGGACATAATCTTGGATCTTGATGATATGTTACCAGTATCAAAAATTGTGAAATTATTAAGTTCTTTAAGGTATTTTCTGATACAAGATTGAAAAGAGCAATAAAAAAAAAAGCTATGTTCTCTAACATATAGGTGCATTCTTTGACATCAGTCACTGAACTTACAGGTTGTTCCCAAAATAAAATTTTAAAACAACATAATTGAAAGCACTTTAAGATATAATTTTATTGAATTTGACTTCTTAAATTATCTTTTTAATGCTTGGAGACATATTGAATAAACTGTAGTCTTGTCACGTGATCTGCAACGATTGCTCTTCCTTAAACGTAATTCCTGTGGCCCTTCTAATGATTGTATATTGAGTTAAACATCTAGGCTGGGAGACACTGCTTTGTGAGACTTAGAATTTAAGTACAGAGGAAGAATTCAAGAATTCATTTCTCCTCAACATGACTAACACTGAAAAGGTAAAGGTTTAAGACTTTCCTCAGAAATAACTAGAAAACAGTTGGACACCCATCCATTTAGTTGTATTTCCCAGCATGATGTCACTCGTTTCAGGTTGGGTTACGTGGGTATTTCCTGTATTTTGTACACTTCGAATTTTGAATTGCTCACAGTTTCAGCCCTGTTCCACTCTGAGTTACATGTTCTGCCTATTTTCTACTTGCTGTGCGCAGGACCCGGGGAGCCTTCGGAAGTGCCAGGTTGCCACTGTCAGCTCAGAATACTAAGTCAGATAGGCAGTGCCTTTTGGTTGCTTTTGGATTCATGGGGACACATTCGAGGCAGACAGCATTCTCTGCTGTGTGCTTTCAGTGAGCCTCATTTCACTGTTCAGCTGTGGGAATTCCTGTGCAGTCAGCTTCAGTGCATCACTCTGTGTGTGGCCTACCACAGCCAGTGCCAGCTTTGGTCAGACACATGAAGTCGGAAGGGCCAGTGTTTGAGAGCAGAACTGTGTGCTTGGGGAAACAGACAGAGGCAAGTGGTGAATTTGGTATGGTTCTGGTGTTCTCACAGTTCGATGTGAGGGTGTAGAATTGATTTTGAATACCTGTGTCGTACTGTTTCCCTTCCCAGCTCACCGTCTCTCCACACTCGTCCTTGCAGAAGGATTGTGTGGGACACGCATTGAAATGCCAGCGATGATACGTGGTGGGACATCATCGCTGGCAACTGCACTCAGGAGCCCAAATTCAGGAGTGAAATTGCCACTTCTAGTCAGCTCCCTTATTTCCTATGGAAACGACTCGCCTTCTACCCCGCACCTGCTGTCCTCATGTAAAGCTGCACCAGAATCGTCCTCACTCTTCACTTTGGTCCATCTTGCTACCTTGTTGCTGTCATGGGCATCCTTTCTACTTTGCCAGTAACCACTTGATTTCCAACAGCTGCAGTCCACGAACCTGCTGAGGACTTTTTTTTTTTTTTTTTTTTTTTTTTAATTGAACCCCCAAAAAGGACAATTTGGGGAGGGGTTTCTTTGGGAAGGGTTTTTTTTTTTTTTTAATTGAACCCCCAAAAAGGACAATTTGGGGAGGGGTTTCTTTGGGAAGGGTTTTTTTTTTTTTTTTTTTTTTTTTTTTTAACTGTAGCACCACAAAGTGACAATTGTGGCAGGCTTGCCTTGGAAGAGTTGTCATTTTTACTGCCAATTTTTGAATGAAGATGTTTTTATAATCTTTCACAATGGTCTGCAAATCAAGCAGGAATTGCACAATTGATTCAATGCTGTGTGTTCTCAAGAAGCTCCTGCAGTCCAGGTGGACCTCAGGACTGCTATCCTGCCCCTGAGGCATCCTGGGACAGACAGACAAGCATCCCATGGGCAACTTGCATGTGGCTCTCCAGGTTTGTGTGGTTGCTGACACCTAGAATAAGCTGTAGGACACAGAGCACTGAGCCACAGACTGACCTGGCTTGCCCTACCCTCTCTGTTAACACCGAGGTATGTGCAGTATCTTTTGAGCTTGGAACAAGCAGACTGGAATTTTCCTCTGCTACCTCTTGTGTACAAAATTGTTTATAAAATTTCAAAAGAAAGTAGATAAACTAGGGAAGAATCTGGATTCTAAATTGGTTCGTATGTGGCAGAGTTCTTAGCTTCTAAGAGCATAAAATAAATTTTTCAAAAATGTAGAGTTGGAGTCTCATGGACATTTTTCTCCCAAGTCTCCGACTAGGGCTGTGCAGGGAACTGTGGACAGCACTGTGTTTCCTTCTGGTGTACTGCACTGACAGTGAGTGAGGGCCTCTCTGCAGTGAGGGGCTGTGGGTCCTGCAGGCCTTCTCTGGTCTGTCTGCTCCTAGGATTTCTTTGCATAGCTTATGTGGGGATGCCCATCTTGGGCTCATAGCCTTCAGACAGCTCCTCCTGTAGCCTCAGCTTGCAAGGAGTCCCAATCAAGCAGAGCTCCTTGCTCTGGTCTGTCATTTCGGGTGACCTGCGTTGCTCATGCAGGTCCCATCCCCTTTGCTACACCTTTTTCTTCCTGCAGGCCAGGCCTTCCTCCCCTCTCTTGGCAACTACCTGCCAACCGTCTGTAGGAACCAGATATCCACATGTGGTCTAACCAACCAGTATATGGTCCTGTGCCATGCTGGGGACGGGGTGGTCTCAACTAGGCTGAAAGCACAGGTGCATCTGTCAACTCTACAGTGCTCTCCACAGGTAATACTAGTAGTCAGAAACCAGTTTGGGAGGACTGTATAGAGGTAAACCTTAAGATGTGCCAGGCGGTCCCATGCTGCATGAGTGCCAGGAGGTCCCATGCTACATGAGTGGGGTATTTGCACTTTGAACACTGGAAGATCTGAGCAAGCTTCATTTCAATCTGGAGCGACTGTGAGCTGCTTGCAGAAGCACCCATAGGCTCATGGCTACATGAAGAGGTCAGGAAGCTATAGAAAGATGGTCATTGCATTCCTCAGACAGCCACAAGGAGTAAGTTCCCATTCCAGGCCTTCTCAGAATCCTGTGAACTCGCCATTCAACAGACAGCTGTGTCTGGTAAGCAAGCAGCCTCTTGGGCAGTGAAGTGTAGGCCAGTCATGACACAGTTGCTTTTATTCTGAAAACTCACCACGTAATAAAAATGCTACAAAACCCAGAATAAATATCAAGTTACAAAAGCAAAATGGGTCAAGAAAGCCTACTATACAAAGGTAGGAGAAGAGACCCAGTAGAGAGTTGTGTACTTGTTAGCTTGTGTGAACTTGGTGAAAGTGCTCAGGAAGGAGTCAGCATTCTCTGCCACTCCTCCAGTCTCCACCCAGCCCATGTGAACGGGGCTACAGTAGCTATGAAAAAGGCCTGTGCTCTAGGGAGCGAACCAGGAACAAGCTGCTGAGGTGTAGGCTTTGGGGCTCTTCCCAGTCTTGCTTGGAGAAATAGAGTGCCCAGCCTGGTACCGAGAAGCCTGGCTTTGGGGCCAGCCACTCTGGATTTGTGTTGTGATAAACAGTTGGCTGTGTGGGCTCACTGAACATTCCCTTTTATGGTCCTGTTTCTTCATAAAGTGGGGCTGCCAGTATGTACTGTACAAGGTAGTAGAGGGAACAGGATGAGATGGGGCATGCAGTGGGTAGCCCTCCACTGCAAACTGAAAAAGCAGCTGTGGGTGGGGCTTACTGCCAGTGATTCTGGACAGGGCTAAAGCCTGGAATGGAGCAGAGGAGGGCAACTGGAAGACACAGGCCTGGCCCCATGGTCACCTGAGACTGGCTAGATCTTATTCCTACCCCCAAGAGGTATATACAACTGATCCTATTCAATCAGGAAGCCCAAGGGCATCTTCAAAGTGAGCAGCCCCTGCGGGGCTCAGCACCTTTCACATACTTCCCCAGATTGCTCTTGGCCCCTCAGTCCCCAAGGGTCTCCCTTATCACCTCCCTACAGTAACACATTCTGGAGGCTTGAGGACCAAATGCCAGCCTTTTAGCCCCTTTGATGGCAGAATGTGGGGCATAGCCCCCCTGTAAGGGAGGAACTTCCTGTACATGTGCAAGGAAGGGACACCCAAGGTAAGATACCAAATTCTCCCAAAGAATTCCCACCCCCATTCAGCTGCATTAGTCAGGTAGATCTGTCCCCTCTGCACCAAACCCCAGGCCTGGGGCTGTCACTGGCGTGCCCCAGAGGCCTTCACTGAAGCCCGGCTCCGACAGCAGATGGCAGCAGCCACAGTGGCCTCTTCACTGGTTCTGCCTGCAGTGTCAGTGTCTCGGCGTCTGGTCACACACGTGTTATCCACGGCATAAGCCCCCAGAGTGGGGGAGGCCCCAGGGAGGACATTGCATCCAGTCAGGGTCCAGCCTGCCTCACAGGCCACGGTGACCTGCCAGAGTTCAGGAAAAGAAAGCCTGTGTCTGGGACTTGTGGGCCTTCCACACTTCCCTGGTCCTCACATCCAGACGGGACGGCACCCAACACTAACCAACCCCAGCACACTCCATGTAGGGCCCTAGGACATGACAGACTTACAGCAGTATCAGCCTCCTTCAGTTCTCTAGTGTCAGCACCTCCACAGCCTTCCATCCTGCTTAAAGGCAGCTCCAATTGTCCAGAAACCTCAGACCCATCCTCATTCCTTGCCCACACCCATCTCCAGATCTGTGACACCTCCCCCTGTCTCCCACCCCAGCCTGGGCTCTCGACCTCCTAGGCCTGGACCAATGCAGGAGCTTCCCTGCTTCTGCCCATGTCCCTGGCACCTCTTCTCGGTTCAGCAGCCGTAAGCCTGATCAGAGCACACTCAGAACCTTGTGTGGGTCAGCTCATTCAGCAACCCACAAGGCCTGACTGGCTCTCAGATCCCACCTTCCCTGATCACTCTGAGTCCCACCCTGCCTCATTGACCTGCTGAACGGTCCTATCCACTAGGCATGCAGCTATCTTGGCCTTGACTATTCCCTTTGCTTGAAACTTCCCAGTGCAGGACTCATGGCTTGTCATTCCACCGTCTCAAGAATGTCTCTCTTGACCCAGCCACTCTCCTCCCTGATTTGTTTTTCTTCATATTATTGTCTTTGTAGTCTATAACTTTGTTACTGTCCTCTCCCATCAGAATGGCCCAAGCAGGGATGTCTGTCCAGTTCATTTCCTTAGAAACTGGGCCCAGCATAGAACCAGCCTCCCTGGGTGCCTGTGCCCAGGGATAGAGTAGAACTGAGATGCCCCAACCCTCATGGAGTACCCTTCATCCTTGAACTGTCCCCTAAGAGTAGGCTTCTCAGGGCTCAGACACCCCTGTCCCAGGGTTGTGTAGAGGAGGAGCACTCCTGCCCCAAGCTTGGAAACTTGGCCTCAGGCCCTCTGCAAGGCCCTTCCTTCCACTCTCCCCACTGGTTCAGCTCTGAGTCATGTCTAGGTGACCTGTGTCCAGAGTCCATGCTGAACCCCTGCCCAGACTGCCTCCCAGCAGGTTTGGCAAGTGGCTGAGTCAGGAAGCCTTCAGGCACTTCCTTTCCCATGTACACATGTTCAAAATGGAGAAAGGGGCAGCCAGGGCGTGGTGGCGCATGCCTTTAATCCCAGCACTTGAGAGGCAGAGGCAGGCAGATTGTAAATTCAAGGCCAGCCTGGTCTACATAGGGAGTCCCAGGCCAGCTGGAGCTACAGGGAGACCCTGTCTCAAAAAAAAAAAAAAAAAAAAAATGGAGAAAGGGGAAAGGAAACCTTGCTGATCTGAACAAAAGCAAAACCAGGCCTGCCATACCCAAACATGAACACACACATGCACAGGCACACACATGCTCAGTTCGTGCAACAGCAAACCCAGGTCATCCACCCTGCCCTGATGCATAGTAGCATGGGACACACAGCAGAGTCAACCACCCCACAGGACCCAGAAACTGCCATCCCCGCTCCCTTCACCTGCTCTACGGGGCCGGAGATCCCATGTTCCTTGACTTTGCACTCCAGGCCTGGGGCATGGCAGCAGGAAGCATGGATATTGGCCTCCTTGTGGCCCACGCACTGGCTGAGCTGACCTCTGGGCCTCAATGCAGGTTGACGGTAAGCATCAAGGTCTTCGACCTCCCAATGGGAGCTACAGCCTAGAGCAGAGGATGGACAGCTCAGACTGGAATACTGGACCCCTCTACCCCTTCTTTATGGTCCCAGTTAGACCCCACTTTTTTCCAGGTCTAAGGCTTAGGAAACCCAGAAACAGCTCAGAGAAGAGGTGATGACTTAAGCAATAGAGTCCCACGTTTTTGAGCTCAAGCCCGCCACTAACCTGCTGGGAAGCCTTAACAGAGCCATCCAACTTCTTGGAGACTAACTTTCTCAGGGAAAACATGCCATGGAACAGGGCTCCTGCACCTGAGGTGCTTAAAACCCCGAGTCCCTTCCCCATCCTACCACCAGCAGTTAAGGTTCGAGCCCTGATCTGCCTGTGACACCTAGGGACTTCCTCCATGGCCTTGGGAGTCAGGTACACCAGTGACTACAAAATCATTGGTAGTGGATACCTCAACTATACTAAGCCATAGTTCCCCTTTTGTAACGTGAGTGCCACAGCATTTACAGAGACACTGACGAGGAATCGAGGCAATTCGTGTGACATCCCAGCACATGACTTGTGTGTTGCAAGGGCTCTGCACACGGGGTCATGGTGACTAGAGTTCTCTGTGTCCTAGCTGTATGACCTTAGGAGAGCCACTCATCTGTGGAGGTGCAGCACCCTTATCTGTTAAGTTGAGCTCTGGGCTAGGCTGCAAACAGGGAGGGGTCTATGCCTCTCACTGGTTCCCTAGGGCTTAGCTTCTGGCACTCTGAAAGGCAAGAGCCCAGCAGAGTATGACCAGCAGCACTGTGGAGCCTTGCCTGGTCCAGGCTCCAGGCACCTACTGAACTCATCTGCCCCTTGCACTTCCATCCTGTGTACCAAGGCTCCACTGACTCCACCCCTCCACTCTGAAACCTTCAGTGGCACCCCACCCAGCCCACACTTCACTGGAATCAGCCCCTGAAAGAGCCATTCCTGACGGTTCCCCACTCCTCAAAACCTACCTAGGCACCTATGTTCCATCCATGCAGGACTGTTCAGCCTCCTCCTCACCTGTGGGCCATCATCCCTTGATGGCACTAGAGGACCCTATCTGTAACTTCTGGTACCTGCCTAGACATGTTTCTGACAGTGGCCATTAGTGCTCCCTAGCCCAGAGGCAGAGCAGTGAGAAGACAAGGGCAGCTAGTGTACCTTGTCCCAGCACCAGGTTACACACTTAGCACCCACCCTTGCACTGCATGATGAGGAAACTAAGACAGAACTACTAAGGAACACCCCTCAATGATGAATGGAAGAGGAATTCAAATTGAAGTCACCCCCATCTCAGGCCTCAGAGCCTTCCACTGGATGGCAGCAGGTGCCCCAGCCTATATTCCACAGCAGTGTCCCTGAGCAGATGTTACCTCTGTCCCTCTTTCTCAAAAGAAAACTAACAGGATCACGTGATGTGAACCACACGTGCTCGAATCCCAAGCTCTGGAAGACCAAGCCCTGGAGCAGGAAGTGCAGGACAGTACCTCTTCCTCCCCAGCCTGGGCTGAACTCCTACCTGTGAGGACATGGTCCTGCTGATGGCAGTGCACATGGGTCTCCAAGCCAGTCCTGACTGTGGGGGTTGTGTGGATGCTGCAGTTGGCACGGGGAAGCAGGCAGCACCTAGCAACAGCATAGACCCCCTCACCCCCGAATGCGTTGAATGCCAGGCAGACCCGCTGGCCCCCTATAGCCTGAAAGCCACAGTAGAAATAACTGGTTAGAGAGGACACAGGGTTGGAAGAGAGGCTTCCAAGCACCTATTTGGGGCCCCTGGAGGCCTCAACACCATTTTTGCTCCCACCACTCCAGGGTCAAGGAGCTCCTAAACCCAAGGCCAGCTTTCTGGAAGCCAGGCGTAGTGGGACATGCCTTGAATCTCAGCACTTGGGAAGCAGAGGCAGGCTGAGCTCTGTGAGTTCAAGGTCAGCCTAGTCTACAAAGTGAGCTCCAGGCCAGGTGGGGCTACAAGGAGACCCTGTCTCAAAAAACAAAACAAAAAACCTAGACAGGGATACTGGCTTCTAAGTGGAGACACGGGAGGCTGAGATGCCAGGGCCCAGTGCCAGCCTCTCCTGGGAAGCTTCAGAGATGCTATCTATACTCAGGGCCTCATCCTCCAGGCCAGGTGCTGCCCTCTTGCTAAATTCAGGGTCACACACCATCTTCATGCCTTGCACATCACCTCAATTCCAAAACCACAGACCATCTCAGTGAAGGGGCCCGTATGAGGCCTTGGATCCTGTGGGCACTGCCCATCCTGGGCCTGGCTTTCTGACCAGGCCTTTAAGCCTGCAAATGGGGACTGGAGGACAGAAGGTACAGGGATCAACCAGCTGAGGCTGCTAAGGGTTGGGTTGGGACTGCTGGGGGACAGACACACAAACGGCCAGGGCACCTCCATTCGATCACCCCGCCGCCTCCCGCTTCTGGAAAAGCTGGAGCAGCTGAGCAGCTCCTCATCTGGAGCACAACGGGCTGCAGCGGTGGCTGTCTGTCTGGGCCCCGAGTGCGCCGACCACACCGTCCTGCAGAGCAGCTGCTCACCTACAACAAGACCCTGGATGAGGAGGGTTCTGGGAGGGGAGCACCTGCCAAGGATGCTAGAAAAAGCCTCGGTTCATAGCAGGAGAGAGAAAACCTTCAAGAATGCTACATTTTCACATGAAAATGTCACCAAGTCCTGTCAGAACCACTGTCCTCAAACTGTAGCTAAGGAAGGACAGCCCTCTTATGAGGACTGGGGAGGGACTGTCTGCCCATCTCGATACCCTGCTCACCTGTTCCATAGGGGCTGGGGGGCAGTGTGGCCACCAGGTTGGGGGTCAGCAGTCGCTGGTCCTCAGGGAACCAGGCCTTGTCGATGACGTCTTTGGTAGAGAAGTGGATCAGTCTCTGCCGAAGCTCAGCCAGGGTGAGCTCTGGCTCCACATTCAGCATCGTGGTGACAATTCCTGGAGGTGTGGGGGGTTTATAGATGGTGATGACCTGGCCCTGGTGTATATATGTAGGAGTTTACACACCACACACACACACACACACACACACACACACACACGCACACACTGCTCACCCAGAAATTAAGCCACTGGTGAAAGCCAGAAAATTAAAACCCCTTTGTACCCCTGGTCCTTGGAACTGTGGTTCTGTTTGCTAGGTGAACTCTCATTCATCCACCAAACACTGAGTCAAACATCCCTTCTCGAAGAAGCTTTCCCTGACCCTCAGGCTGTATGAGGGCCTCCCCTGGGCTCCAGCAGAGTCCTGATTCTTTTGGGCTCCTTCTGTCTACCTTTTCCCTGGCAGACCCAGTGTCCTTCAGGACATTGTTAAAGTGTGGCTCTTAAATGTCCCCCAAAGGCCTGTATGTTGAAGGCTTGGTCACTAGCCTGTGGGAAGAGATAGAACCTTTGGGAGATGCGTCCTAATAGAAAGAAGTCAGTCATTGGAGGTGTGCTCTTGAAGGACCCTGGCTGAGCTTCGGCAGGGTCCAGGGCCTTTCCTCACTGTGCTTCCCAGCCACATAAGAGCAGCTTTGCTCTTTCACATGCTCCCTGTCACGGCAAGTCCCAAAGTGAAGGGGCTAAGTAATTGTGGACTGAACCCCTGAAATCCAGAGCCCAAATAAATACCTCCTTTAAGTAGATTGTCACAGGTGGGGGAAAGCTTCCCACCACAGGCACCATAGGTGGGCCTCATGCTTGCTCTAGGGCACAGGGTCTGGCCCCAGAAGACAAGGCACAGACCCTGCCGCCTGCCAAAGAAAGGGCCATAGTAACCTGGACAGCGAGGTGATGACTCACCAGCCACATGGGCAGCAGACTGCGACGTCCCGCTCTTTGACACGAAGCATGTGCTACAGTCACTAGAGGCCCCAATGATGTCCTTTCCAGGGGCAAAGAGGTCCACACAGCGGCCAAAGTTGGTCCCCAAGGTCCCCAGGGTGAGTGGCTGATCCTGGGCATTGATGGCCCCAACTGTGATGACCTGACAAGATGGGGTGGGTGACAGAGAAAGGTCAGGGCCAGAGGATCAAGCAAACCTGGCCTCGGGGCTGGCCAGTTTGGACTCCTGTTTGGATTCCACTGAAATGTCCCCTTCCTGTGAGAAATGCAACCCACTGGGGAAACCCCAGAATTCCACCCTGCCTGGGGCTTCCTACCAGGCCCTGTTCCCAGTGCCCAGTGGAGCCCGTGTTCCAGTGCAAAGCCTGAGTGGGAACTGTTGTATTATCAGTAGGCATGGTACTGTTGGAAAGTCCAGAGCAGGCAAAGTAAAAGACCCATGCTGGGCCTTAGCAATCCTAAATTCAGCCCTGCTGGCTAGCGAGGGCAAGCCAGGTTACACCCCATCAAGCTTGCACCTGCACCCACCCATACCACCACCAGCCCATGCTGAAATAGGACAGGCACCATCCTTACTTCTGCACTCCCAGCACCAGATGATCTAGCACACAGCAGGTGCCCTGTAAATGTCCCTCAGTTGAGGATGAGCCTGCTGCACCGTCAGCTCCTCCAGGGAGGCTGCTCCCAGGATGCACCTGCCACAGCGCCAGGCCTAGAGCCCAAAGCTGTCCCCCAGTCTCACTGGCCTCACTCAGGGTCAGTCATGAATGGGGAGCTGGACAATGAAGAAGCCAAGAGATTGGGAAGGAGAGTGGGGATCTGTGCTTCACCGCCTCAGGGTCTCATGAGTGGTGTGAGGAAGCAGAGATGGGGAGAAGGCTGATCATGCTGTTCTGCCACCCTAGGTGACAGAAGAAGGGTTGGACAAAGCCCCAGGTCCTGAGAGGAGGGGAAGGGTCATAGTCAGGCACATGCAGGATGGAGGCAGGGCTGGACAGGAATGTAGGCATGGCTGCTTAGGTCACAGCTGTGCACAGAGGCTGGAGGAAGGAAGGCATGAGTCCCACCCTTGTGGGGATCCAATCCTCCACTTCCAGCCAGGGAGGTTCAGTCAGCAGAGATGCCACCTGCCACCCTCCCTTTATTCTGTGACACTGGCACCTACCTCTGGAGCAGAGGCTGGGGAGTAGAGGCAGGCGTCGTCCCGGAAGTTGCCAGCTGCAGCAACCAGCACTACTCCAGTCCTTGCCAGGTGCTGGCAGGCTGTGTTGAGGATCCGGCTATACCCCCCTGCCAGGGGCAACAGCACCACTAGTGGCCCAGCAGGCTGGCTTAGCTGACTTTTCCGAATAAACTCCAGGGCTGCAAAGACAAAGCCCATGTCACCTCCTGGTTTGCTTTCCTCCTCTAGTCCCTTCCCTCAGAGCAGTGTGATGGATCATTTTGTGGCAGTTTGATGCCCAGATGTGTGCTCAAATCCATCTAAATGCTGCTCTGAAGTTATCTTTATGTGTAACTGACATTTAAATCATTTATTCATTTTCTTTGAGTAAAGTGGATGGTCTCCACAACATTGGTAGGCCTCACTGAATCCATTGAAAGCCTTAGGAGAAAAGATGGGATCCCTGAAGGAAGACTTCTGACCCTGGACTGCCTTCAGACTGAAGACCAAAGGTGCTGAATATTCACCAGAACCAGATGTAAGACCTTATTGCTGTAGACTCCACACACTGGTTACAGGACAGAGAAATCAAGCTGGAACAGAGTTGGAAGCTTCCTTCCTACTGGCTGGCTTTTATAGTGCTGACAGATATATGTAGGCTTCTGGGAGGGAAAAGTCAGCAGTCTTGCTCAGCTGTAAGCACTGTGAATTACAATACCAATCTGCCAGGCAAGATCTGCCCACTGGTGCAATAGTGGTATGACTGTTATGAGGACAGCCAACCACTATCTGATTTGATTCTCTGCACAGGAGAGATTCACATCTGGTACCATAAACTGGGTCAAAAGCCCATGTCTAAGGCATTCACAGGCCCTAGGGGGCCACCTACTATTGTTATTTTGCTAAATATTGTTAAACTGCCTTCTGAATATTTTGGTTTATAGTCATAGATTTGTGCTGCTCTCAACCTTAGTGAGGGAAGCTTCTTTATAAAGTGGGCAGCAGTTAATATAGACTCATAACTGGTCAAAGTGATGAGGATAAGTGACCGTGAGTGCTCAGCCATAAAGGAGGCATCCATATCCACCCCTCCCACCCTGCAAGGCTCAGGAAACATCACAAATTGGGAGTGGGGGGGAGGAAGATGTAAGAACTGGAGGATGGGGAGGAGCACTGTGAAGGGCTGTCTTCTGGACATAGCATGGCCAATTCACTTATGAACTCAGAGCAGCTGTGGTTAACCTGCACAAGACAGGGCCCAAAGCTATTCTATTATGCATAGCAGAGGGGCTCCTGAGCAATCCCACCCCCTGCCTTCCCTAAAGAGCTACTGGCAGTTAATGGTTGTTGGGGATAAAGACTGTTCTCTTTAGTGGTATAGCCACAGTTAAGTTGCCCTTGCTCCCATAAATAACACCCCATACCCACGCTCATGCAAACTTATTAAATTAAACTCACTAATTAAACTTAGTGGATCACAAAAAGAGGACATGGAAATAAGATAAAGACTTGTTAGAAATAATAAGGTGTTCAGAAGAGAAGAGGGGGTAGGAGCAATGAAACTTCCAAACAATGGGTTTTTAAAGTAATTTTAAAAACACTAGTTTTAAAAGAGGAAATATTTTCCCACTTGCAACTTCAGAAAATGAACACTTAAACATGAATGCTAGTTTTTTTCTTTTTTGATTTTTTAAAAAATTTTTATGTGTATGAGTATTCTGCCTGCATGTATGTAAGTGCATCCATGTTGTGCAGTGCATGCAGAGGTCAGAAGAGGGTCTTGGGTCCCCTAGAACTGGAGTTATCGATGGCTGTTACCACCATGTGGGTACTAGGAACTGAACTCCAATCTTCTGCAAGAGCAGTCAGTGTTCTGAACCCCTGAGATATCTCTCCTGCCCCCTATGAGTGCTAAGTTTTAATAGGGAACAGGAGGGATGGGTAGGGGAACTTTGATATTCTGCATTATAAAGATAAATTTGTATTCCATATTGTAAAAAGGAATCTGGGACCAGCAAGATGACACATCGGGTAAAGGTAGTTGCCACCAAGCCTGACAACCTGAGTTCAATCTCTGGAACCAACATGGTAGAAGTTAAGAACAGACTCCCACGAGTTGTCCTTTGACCTCCACATGTGCACATGCACCCACACACAATAAATAAATAATAAAATGACAGCTCCCTCATGCTGAGCCCACTCTGCCCTGTAATGTACTGGGGGCTTCCTATACACTGACGGGGAAAAGGAGAGGGTATTGATTTAAACATACATCAAAGCCTGTACTCTAAAGTCCCAGGCAGAGTTCAAGGGCACAGACTACTTCTCATATGCTGCCTGGGCCAGCTCAGAACCAGCACCTGAGGGGCTGGTCAAAGTAAGCCAGACCCCCACCCCCATCCCTCTCTTCTGGTCTATAAGCCACAGTTCTAGTCCTCAGGAGACATCCCAGATGCCTGCCTAGTGGACTGATGGAGGACCCTGCAGAAGTCTGGGAAATTTTGTTGTAGTTCTTCCAACAAGCGAGCCCCTGGAGTCAAGCAAGCAAAAGCCGGGGAACGCCTGCTTGGGTCACCTCAGCGCTATGTAAATCTAATACAGCAGGACGAAAGACAAACACTGTAAAACTCCCACAAGGAAAGCAATAGAGGACTCAGAGCTCTGCCTGCCAGGCCTCAGCTTCCCCATCTGCACTCATGACCTGGAGGCCTTGACAGCTCTGACACCCTGAACTATTGGTAGAAGTCACTGGCTAGGAGTTGCTAAGTTTTGGCTATCTCCACACAGAGGCCAGGACCTAGAACGTTACTCACCTGTGAGAGTGCTGCTGACCGTGCCCTTCCCTTGGCAGTTGAGCACACGCAGGCTGTGCAGGCTGGTACCCTTGGCCACACCAGCATCCCGGCCACTGACGACGCCTGCCAGGTGGGTGCCATGGCTGTCACATTTGCTGGCCTACTCAATCAACACAGGGACCATGTGAGAGAACCCACTCACCCCATGGGTTCAACAGGTGACATTCCACCCCACCACTGACAGCAGGGAAGGGTAGGCAGTACTGACACCATGTTCTGGGGAGTGACACCTCTGCCCCCACCATCAAACCAGAGTGAGAGTCACCTGTCTGTGAAAGCGCGTCCCGTCCTCGTCAGGCACATTGTTGAAGTCAGTGATGGTGACCCTGCCCTCAATTTCCCGATGGTCACTCTGGATGCTGGTGTCTAAGAGATATACCTCCACCTGACCACCTCCACCTATCCATAGCAGCATTTGTAGGAGGAGAGAGAACAGTGTGAGGTTGATGCTACAGCTCAGAATCATGTCTACCACCCTGGGCGCTGCTGTAAGCATGTCAGCCTATTAGCTCGTGCAATCTCCCCAAGTACCTCACAAGTTTCATGCTATTGAATCTATTTTACAGCATGAAGTAAAGCACAGAGAGGGAAAGGAACTTCCCATGACTGTAGCTGGCAAATGACAGCCAGGAGGTGAACCAGGGTGTCCAGCTCCGTACAAAATAACAGTAGCATTCAAAACCTAATACTATATCAAATAAATCAAGCCCCCAAGAATAAAGCCTCTCACGGTTCCCTGAGGTGAGGGTAGAGAGGACTGGAAAGATAGAAAGAGACTAGCAGGGCTGCCTGGTATCCTGCTTGGCTGGTCAACACATTTCACAGAGGAAACTGAGGTTTTGCGTCCACAGATTCACCCACAAGGGCCAGGTAGGCTGTTTCCTCCTCCACTGAGGCTGGGCAGCCTCAGTGCAGAAAGCCCATCGTGAACCTGCCAACTGCACCTTGCCCTTTCATCAGGGCAAGTGGGATTCTCTAAAAGGCAGGTACCAAGGTGGAATGAGGGCTGCAAGACACTTTCCTGTGCAGCCAGGTGGAGGGAACAGAGGAGTCAAGGAGAGCCTGCAGAGGGCGACACAGGTCTAGCTCCTCAGGAGGGAGAACAGGAGGACGGAAGCCACGAAGGAAGCGCCCAAGGCTGCAGCCACTCCCCAAAATTCTCAGCCTGGGGCTGGGAATGTAACTGTGTGGTAGAACACCTGTCTAGCACGCGTGAGCCCTGAGCTCAGTCCCTGGAGGGTTGGGGCAGGGAGGGGCAGAGGGACAGCCTGGCCAGCAGGAGTCCCAGGAGGGGTCACTGTTGTTACCTCCACTGTTCTCTGTCACTGTCTAGGAGCAGCCAGAAGAGGTGGGGCCCCAGGCAAGCTCTGGGGGAAGTCAGAGCAGCTGTGACTGCCATAGTAACCAACTTAACCTTTGCGGTTCTGGAGACCAGAAGCTCAAGACCAAACCCCCTTGAAGGCTCTGGTGTAGAATCCTGGCTTGGTCCTCTGCCTTCTAGATGTCACTGACATTCCTTGCCTTGTGGCTGCCTTGCTCCAAACTCTCCCTGTCCCCTATATAGCCTTCTTCTCTGCATCCAATTTCCCAGTTCACGAGAGCCTGCTAGATGATCCACAGTGATGGCACCTTGCGATCCTTCATTGCCTCTGCTAAGACTTTTATCTCAACAAGGTCATATTCACAAAGCTGCCCTGAGACTCCACACCAATTTCTGTCCAGGTCAGTCCCCAGGCCCCTTTCCTCCCCACGGTGATCATGTCAGACTGGGCTTGCCTGAGTCATCAACATCTAGCTCTATGCCCTACCACTGCAACCACAGCTAAGCAAAAGTTCAAGCCAAAGCCACTATAGAAAAGTCCTGGGCCTCCAATGAGATGTCAGTTGGGGGTGGGGAGGGGCCAGGGTGTGACACAGTGCCTTTAGGACCTTTCCAGAAGGCATCCCATGATGCTCCAGCCTGTGTGAAAGGTGGCCACTGCTGCCTGTGCCTCAGGGCAAGGTGCCCCAGGGGAAAAAGGACCTTGGATTGCCCCACTCAGCCTGTGGCTTAGCAGGCTGGGCACCCAAGCATAACTGCACACCACTGGGATGGGGAGTTCTCTTCCTTCCTGCAGAAATGACTTTTCTGAGAATGACTCTTTGTAATAAGCCTTTATAAAGTGAACTTTTGCATTAGCTTGTAACCAAGGTATTTATATGTTCTGAGATCACTTTGAACTATGCACTCATTCCATTCACATACTGAGCACTCAGCTTATTTAGAATTAACTGATCTTTAAGAAAAACGATCCAATCAGTCCTGCAATGCTCATAGCTTTAATCTTTGACCATGCTCCTATTTCTCCTTTATGACTCATTTATGCCCTGACACAAAACAATGTTTGTGTACTAAGATATGTTCATTAGAACAAAGACCACCCTGAAAGGGACAACAATGCTGAAAACAATGTGTCCCCCACAAGAAATATTGGAAGCAACATGTGGGCATAGATTGATGATGTCTGTTTGTGATTTTGTAGCTATTCTGAGGCAGTTAGGTCAGAATAATAATTTCCTTCCTTGTAAAACTCTTATCAGAGATTGCTCATTCCTTTCCCATACGTTTTTTGATGTACTAGTCAACACAGAGAGAGGAAGCCCTTTGTTAGAGGAAGAGAAGAGAGGGGAACAGCTCTGAGAGACATCAGAACACTTCAAAACATATCAGGCTCACTCCGGGCTAAATGACTCCAAGAGTTAGTTTTTTTAGCTATTTTATGTATTATTTTTACTTTATGTGTATGAGTATTTTGCCTGCATGTATGTAAATGCACCTGTGTCATGTGATGCCCACGGAGGTCAGAAAAGGACGTCAGATCCCCTACAACTGGAGTTACAGATGGTATGGAAGAAGAAGTCCAAAATACAGCACTGACCCATGCAGTCTGTAACAATAGACCTTTTAACCCTCCAAAGAGCCCCCAGGCAGAAGCTATCATTTCCTTCCTCTTATAGAGGAATCTGAGGCTTGGTAAGGGTCAGAGACTTACCCAAGGTCACATAGTTCAAGAGTGCTGAAATCTGAGGTTGAGAATAGCAATCTGCTCCATGCTTGTCACCTATACCATGTGGCCTCCCCATGAAGGATCTGATCCTGGACCCAGCCAGCCTTCCTGTGCTTGCCCTGCCCTGCCCCAGCTCAACAAAACCTAGACTCCACTATGCTAAGCCCTCATAAAGCCCCAGAATGGGCTCCACACCAGTCTTCCATTCTGTCCAGTTTCCACAACCAGTAGGCACCAGTGAGGGGAAAGATCACCAGGGCTGTCCTAGGGGCAGAAAGGGGTTCATGTGCTTCAGGCCAGTGGGACCCCAGAAAAGCCATGTCCCCACCCTCCTCCACTCTCTGGAAAGGGCTTTGTGGGTGTGATGTGATTAGGGACCTGGTGAGATGACTGGGTCATCCAGGCAGCTTAAGGCCAATACCTTGTGTCCTTACAAAAGAATGGAGAGACTGCATGAGGACTCACACGATGACAAGTGGAGATGAGAGTTCTGCACTCCAAGCCAAGGTACACTGCAGCCACCAGGAACAAAAGGCAAAGATGCCTCTCCCTGATAAGACAGAAGGGAGCCCTGGGCAGTGCCGCCTGGCGCCCCCACACTGACAAACTACTGGCCTCCAGCACTGTGAAGAAGCTCACATTCATGCTCTGAGGTCATGGGACATTGACACAGCAGCACTGGGAAACTCAACTCAATCCTGAGCTGGCCTCCTCAGGAGCCCAAGGCACCAACATGGACTCTGGTACTCTAGGCTCCAGTACTCTGCCTATAGGGGCACAGCCTAGGGGGATGGCAGATCCTGGAACTGCTCCTGTCTTCCCTGGGTGCAGGTTCCTCACCCTGCTGCCGCCACCTTGGCCAGATGTTCCATCCCCATCCCAGCTGTGTGCAAGAGCCCTACTGTTACAATGACCCAACTCAGAAGCCAATGCGGCTCTCCATCCAAAAGCATCTGTCTGTCCTTCACTCACTGGAGCTTCATAGCCCTTCAAGAAGACTTCCTACAAGGAGGGCTGGGTCTTTGTGCCATTTCATAGATGAGGGAGAGGTACCCCATCTCTCCACTGAGCTCCACAACTCAAGCTCTACAGAACACCTGATCCTTTCCCAAAGCAAGGTGACCTTCGACCTTCCCTGACTCAGCGTCTCTCACAGGCCCTACCAGACCCAGACCACCTTCCCCGGTCTCTCTTCCTCCATCTCCATAGACAAGACACACTAAGCGTAGAGGGACCCAGTAGCACATGTAGGTAGCCTCAGGCAGTCTGACTACACTTAATGCAGGGGGCTGGTGAGCTGAGAGATCCTATCTAGGTGGGAGCAGCCAAGGTGGGCTGTGTCTGCCCTGGGAGGGATCTGTCCCTGTCTACAGGGCTGGGTGGCATCCAACAGACAGTGAGTGAGTTAGGCTTAGCCTTTCTCCTGAGGGAAATAAAGCCTGCAGGGCCACTCCAAATGGTGGAATGAAGCCAACGAGGATGAAATGCTAGAAGGGAGGTTCATTTAGAGGAAGACTTTTGCATTTTACCTGGAGTAATGGGGAGAAGACAGAAGAGGTCAGTGCAGAGGCCAGGGCAAGGAGGAGAGAGGGATCAGAGAAGAACAAGCGGAGGCTGGGGTCTTACTGGAGCCTTACTTGGGGGATTATATTCCTCTGCCTGGTATCGCGCTGGGATGATCCGCTCCAGGTTCCATGGGATGCTCTGGGCAAAGACAAAGGAGTCTTCCTCGATGTACTCCACGTGGGGCAACTGCAGGGCCTGTGTAAGTCAGAGAGCCAGGGCACTTAGCTTCAAAAGCTCCTTGGTTAGAGGCAGTCCACTCTATCCCTAGGCCCACCTAAGCCAACTGCTGCCCACATTCTCACCCACAACCTACCCACATCATCCCAAAGGCTCCTTTCCAGTACCCAGAAGACAGACCAAGGTCTTGACTCTTGCCCCACTCTGGCAGCTGAACCCATGTGTTGGTCAGAAGGATCCTGGGCTCCACATCTCACCTGGGAGCCAGGCCATGCCCAGCTCTGGGCAGGTGGTCAGGAAACCTTAGTGCCTGGACATCATTCCCAAATCAGGCTACCAGTGCTGGCCACTGTGTGCCTGTCTCCATTTCCTCCCTTTTCAGTGACCCTGCAGATCGCAGCCTAGGCACTCAGGCGGAGGCTTCTGGTGTGACCATAGATCATGCCCCAACCTCCATGCCTCACCTTCCTCTCCTTGCCCTCCCCACCAGGAAGCCCAAGGCATCTCTGGGTACCTTGGCATCTCCAGAGAGCTTTAACCTACCCACACTTCTGTCAGCCTCTGTACACAGCATCTACACACTCAGCTAGGCACGGTGGCACCCAGCTACAATACAAGTACTCAGGAAGCAGGGGCAGGAAGATCATTGAGTTTGAGGGTAGCCTGGGCCACCCAGTCACCCAGTCACCCCCTCAAAATTTCACACTCTTTCCACTAATCTTCAAACAATGGCTCCCCTCACATCTGGGTTACAGATGGGAGCCCTAGGAAACAGAGGTACCTATTCAAGGTTAGATAAACTAGTGAGGTGCTGAACTGGCACTGGAATCCAGGCTGGTGAGATGCTAAGGCTCAGTACTCCAGGGCAAAGCTGTGGCCTCCTGTGCAGAGGAGGCTGCCCTGACCAGTGGGCACCTGCCTGCCTCCTGGCATTATGGGCACCTTATTCTTTCCCCACTGTGCTACACACACAGCACCCGCTAACTGCCCTGGGATCCACTGATCTGTCTCCAACTTCACTGTGAGCTTCAGGGAAAAGCCCATGGCTACTTCATCAACAGAGCACAGTGAGCACTTGTTAAAATGTACAGCACATGGACAGAAGATGCCAGTGCAAGATATCTCTTGCACTGAGACCCTGTCAAAGCCCCATCAGTGCCCCACAGGACTTAGTCCAGAGTCCTTTAAGTATGGGCTGATGAACCAGGTTAAGCCCTGGGGCTGCTGTGCCCTGAGGCCAGAAGACTAACACTGTGTGACCCTCTAATTGCACCCTGGAGACCCTGCACAAGTTCCTGAGCTGGGGCCTCGGTGTGTGGGAGGCTCAGAGCACCCAGTACAAAGAGAACTGATGTGCAAATAAGAAGTGCTGTGCTGTGGGAAAGAAAAGAGGGCAGACAATGGCCTGTACCCTTTCACCTCTTGAAGTCAAGAAAGACATAGGACTGAGGGAGGTGAGGGAGAAGGGTCACCCTGCCTCAGAAGAGAAGCCTGGCTCTGCAGTGGCAGTGGCAGTGGCAGAGGAATCTGACATCCTTGAGTCATGATTTTACAAAGACATACCACAGGAGCCGGTGACCCAGGCCATGTCTCCCGCAGGTTTTCACCTGCAGTAGACACACCAGCACAAAGACCCTGGCAGGCAGGCCACAGAGTGGGAGCCCAGCTCTGCTGCTAGCAGTCTGGTAGTCTCTTCTGTACTCCAGTTCCTCATATTTCTTACGAATGTGGACACAGAATTGGGAAACAGTCAAGCTTATGAAGCCAGGAGTCACCAGGCTTGGGGCCTAAAAGAGCTCATCAGCATAGGCTGGTACTAATTCTCAGTGGCGAGCACACCGAGCCATTCCAGACTTGGAAGTAGTGTCCCATCCCTCCTGCAAGGTCCCATGCCCAAGAGGGTGGCTCACCAGGCCCAACAGGTCACTGCTCATCTTCACAAGGAAGCCGGGGAAGAGGTCATGGAAGAGGTGTAAAACCTTAATGATGTAGCCCCGCTGGGCTGCCCAGGACTGCAGGCGGCGGACAGTGCGCTCTGTCTGTAGCCGCTGGGTCTCCTCCATCAGCACCACTATGTAGGTGCCAGGCAGTCTCCAGGCATCCTGGTCCCAGAGAAGGAAGAGAAACAGATGACATGAGAGCCCCTGTGGCAGTCTGCAGGAAGGGAAGGCACGGGCAACACTCAGTGTCTTCCATACCACACTCAGCTCTCTAGGGAACTGACCCAGCTGGCTCTACCTGAAGGCCACTTGAGCTGGTGACCTTCCTAGTCACACCTCCCTGCCCAGTGCCCCATCTAGAGAAACTCACTTCCTCCCTATCCCAGCACTTCTGACTCCCTTCTAGAGGCAGCCCAGAAAAGAACACCCAAGGACTTTGGAGCTTAATCCTGCCTCCAGTATTACTGGTCATTTCGCCTCAAGCAAGTCACTCAACTTCTTTGAGCCCCAGATGTCCTCTATGTATTACAGGGGCTGGAGCACCCAGGGCACATCTGTAGGGATAGTCAAAGAGATGGATGTGTACAATACCTAGCTGGATGCTCAGTAAATGCAGACAGAAGGCCAATAGATGGATGGAGCAAGATAACACATCCACACAGTGGAGAGCCAAGAGTGAGGACTGCAGGAGCAGTCGCAGTTGGCCTTTACTTTCACCTGCCCCAATGGTTCTCAATATATCGCTGTACACATACGTTTGACTCTCGCCAGAGTAGGTCAGTCGCAGCCCTAGTTCAAACCCAGGGTCAACTGGATTTGGGGATTACGAGTTCACTTGGATTTTGTAAAGGCAGCAGTGGGCAATGAAGGAGTTAGCTCAGGGAGCATGAGTAGCATACAATAATCAATGCCGAAAACGTATGAATATGCATATTCACACCAGTGGAATGAATGAAGATTATCAATGATCTTGGGTCAGGTCAGGTGTTCTACCATCAAATAAATCACAAAAGGCCATTTGGTTTCAGAACATTTCACATCTCAGAAGATAGATTAAGGGTTGCAGGCATACACGCCTTAGTCTCCATCTCTGCCCCTCCTAGCTCTGTGTATTTCGTCCATGATACCCCTCCTAGAAGAAAATTCTGCCAGCTTCATTTGTTGTGTTCTAGTTGTGCTTCAAAGATCTATCTAAAATGCCCTCTGCTAAATGAGCATCTACATAGCTGGGAGGGTACTCTGCAATGGAATGAGTGTCCTCCTAGAAGCTGGGCTGCTTGCCCCAAATTTTTTTCATTGTAAATTTGGTTCCCACAAAATAATGATTGAATGAAAGAATAAATGAACTCCAGGAAGTTGCTGGTTGAAATTTCCACCAGAGATGAAACACTTTCAAGTACCCAGTCCAGGTAGGTAAGAGTCTGCTTACTCGTTTCTCAAAATGGGTACTCACTGATGCCAGGGGCAGTTATTTGGGGGCAGTGGTGACTTGAACTGCCTTGTTTGTTTGTAGCAGGGTCTTGCTATGTGGCCCAGGCTGTCCTTGAATTCACAATCCTTCTGCCTCAGCCTCCTGTGAGTCAGGATTAAAGGCATGTCTGGCTTAAAAATGCCTTTCCGTGGCTGTAACCCCATAACATCTACCTAGATTGTTCAGAGCTCAGGAAACATTGTAAAGGGTGTTTTGAGTTGAGTACCTAACATTCTGCCACCAGCACACTAGCTGGGCCAAGGCAGCTCTTAGAAGGGAAATTCTCCCCTCTGCCTCAGTGTCTGTGGTTTAAAGCAAAGAGGCTGTGACCAGGAGATCACAGTGCAGCCAGTGACAATCCTTCAAGTGCTGTCTTCCCTGAGTTACATCCTGAGGTCACTCCTGTAGTCACCTACAACCCCCTTTGAAAGGACTGTCATCTCCCTTTTAATGAAAGCTCAAGGCAAAATAACTAGCCACCCAGTCCCAACCAGGTGAGACTTCAACATCCAGCCCCAAGTCTAATTCCAGGCAGAACGTCTGCAGAACCCTGGGAAGGTTAACTTGGAGGGTACCCCCATCCCTGGCAAGCTTCCCTTAGCCCAGAACCAGGTGCAGGGGGTCTTCGGAGAAACTGACCCCAACAGGATAATGGTGCATACTCAGCCTCCAAAATCTTGGATGCCAGTAGGCAACCCGAAATCCCTCCCCTAATTTAAGCCCCACAAGGCCCCAGCAGGAACCCAGAATGACTGTGTTGAGACCCTTTAATACGTCCTTTTCCAGCTGACAAACTATGTGCTGTTAGAATAGTTCTCTGCCTCCTGCTGGTCCTTCACAACTCTCCCATCCAATTTCCGCCCTCTCCCTCCCCCTCTCCCTGCCCCTCTCCCTCCC